TTTTCATGTATACCTCTTCCTCCAAGTCACTATGAAGAAAAGCATTGTGGCCCATTTGATGGACGTCCTAATTTATCACTGCTGCAATTGCAAGAAATGTTCGCATTGTCACCATATTTGCCACGGGCGCAAAAGTCTCATTGTAGTCTAAACCTTTGACCTGATGATGGAAAAAAATTACCAATCTTGCTTTCAATCGCTGTAAATTACCATGCTCATCATATTTCTCCTTGTATACCCACTTGCTTCCTAGTGCCTTTTTCCCTGGTGGTAACTTTTCGAGGACCCAAGTCCCCTGCTCCTCAAGTGCATTAATTTCATCTGCCATTGCCTTTCTCCATCCTTCATGTTTCATGGCTTCTTTAAAAAATTTCGGCTCATTTCCTCCTTTGGTAGCAACAATGTATTTTCTATGTTTCACAGAAAAACGGTGAGAATCAACAAAATGTGTTATAAGGTGAACAATACCTGAAGAAGTTGTCACGGATGAACTCTGAAATGTTGATGTAGATGGACTTATATTCCGTATGGTGTGAGTCGCATAGTCTCGTAGCTTAGTCGAGGGAAATTTTTGTCTCATGCCTTTACCTATGCTCAACTCGATATCCCATTGCTCATTATTCGCCACAAGTCCCTCGTCGCACCCCTCTACACGTACCACAGACTGCTATAGCTGCGGCGTGCTCTCAGATGCAGGCTGCTCGTCGAGGTCTGTTGCGCTCCCTGGTCCAACCCTTGCAGGAAAGGCAGTGGGGGAAGCAAGAGCTGGGACTGGGAAAGGCACGCTACTGCAAGCGCTCGCAGCACTTCCAGCGCCCTGGTTAGTAGCTGCGATGTTGCTGCCCTATGCTTCCCACTCATCATCACTATAGTCCTCCTGCACCGTGGCCATCAAATTTTGGGCAGGAGCCATCCCAGTTTCAAGTGTCAGATATGGGAATTCACGCTCACAAAATTGTACATCTTTTGACACAAAAATTTCTTTTGTCTCCAAGTCATATATCTTCCACCCCTTTTTCCCGAAAGGGTACCCCAAAAATACACAACGTCGCCTCCGACTAACAAATTTGTCACTCTTGCTTCGTTGATTATAAGCAAAGCATAAACACCCTAACATACTCATATGAAAGGGGTTTATTAAATAAGACATCAATAGGCGTTTTATTATCAAGCAACCTAGATGGTGTCCTATTAATCAAATGACAAGCAGTTTGCACACATTCACCACAAAATTTCAAAGACAAATTAGCTTGAAACCGCAATGCTCTCGCTACATTTAAAATATGTTGATATTTATGCTCAACTCTCCCATTTTGTTGAGGCCTTTCCACACAAGATGTCTCAAATATTATCCCATTAGCAAAAAAATATTTTCTCAAGGAGTTAAACTCCGTGCCATTGTCTCTATGAACAATTTTAATTACGTGATTAAATTGTCGTCTAACCATAGAAATAAAATTAAGGAACATAAATTCAACCTTCATTTTATTATTAATCACATAGGTCCACACACCTCTAGAAAAATCATCTACTATGGTTAAGAAATAGTGAGCTCCACAAGACGAAGGAGTCTTGTAAAGCCCCCACAAATCCACATGAACTAATTCAAAAATACGATTAGCCTTATTTTTGCTAATAGGAAAACTACTTCTATGTTGTTTTGCTCGAGGGCATACATCACATGATTTACTCTTAAAGCTACTACTAGAACTACTCACAACTGGAAGAAATTGCATTACTTTTGCCGAAGGATGTCCCATTCTTTGATGCCAAAGCTCAAACGATCCAACCCCGTCCACAGCCAAAGCTCTCACCTTAGAAACACCACGGAAATAATAAAGGCCATCTACTCGTTCACCCGCTGCAATCACCTTCCTCGTCGTTAAAGTTTGTTAGTAAATTGCGTAGTGCAATTAGATTCATCACTTAATTGAGTCACGAAATTAAATTGCAATCTAATTGAGGCTCAAAAAGCACATTATTAATCGTCAAACCCCCTTTCAATGTTACCGAGCCAATTTTTGTTGCATTGGCATGTTTACCATCCGGCAATCCCACCGGACAATGAGGTATATTTTTCACATTATTCAAAAGAGAAAATTCACTAGTCACATGATTAGAGGCTCCGGTATCGATTATCCACCCTAAATCACCGTGAAGCTTGGGTTTAATACTATTTTAATGATCCAACAATTCTTGGATTTGAGTAGAAGTCACCCCCCATAATAGCCCCTCCATCTGCCGCTGTAAGAGGAGCCGAATTGCTGCTTTGCGCGGACTGTGAGGAGTGTTGCCCACCTGTCTTATTAGCTCAGACAAGAGCTGCTGCCCCCTTCCCACGTCCACCTGTACGGCCTCCACCACTGCTGCCCGCTGCACCACCACGACCTCCACGAGGTCTATCTCCCCACCATTCCGAAAAACCATGGATTTGAAAGCATCCGGACTCATCATGACCCTCACGATTGCAATGACTGCAAAACTTGTCAGTATTATCAACTGTACACGACTTAGACTTCGAGTCATATTGAAGCTTGAAAGCCACTGTATTCTCACGAGCCGAAACCATAGAGGTCTCACCTCCACGCAACCTCTCCGCTTGAGTCACATGTTGGTAAGCTTTATCAATGCCGAGCAGCAATTCTTGAGCCAACAGTTGACCTCAAATAGGAGCATAAGCATCATCAAGTCCAACCAAGAAATAATGGACATAGTCATCTTCACGGATTTTCTCCACTTGTGCAACAGTGTTGCATTTACAAGCACCGGAAGAGCAATTTGGAACTGAGACATAGGCATTCAACTTATCCCAAATTTTTGACAGTCGACCAAAGTACGCAGCTATTGTCTCAGTTGGTCCTTGCTTGCATTCACCTAAGGATTTCTTCAATTGACACACTCGTGTGCCACTCACCACACAAAAACGAATCTTAAGGTTTGTCCACAATAGTTGCGCATCATAATAATCACCTATCGTAGACCTTATTATGGGGTCTAAGGTGTTAGTAAGCCACGACACGAGCATAGAGTGCACGACCACCCAATCCTCGAGCTTGTCTACATCAGTCAGTTTCACCATAGATCCGTCAATGAAACCGAACTTCCTCTTGGCCTTTAGAGCAGTACGCACTGCTCTTGCCCATTCATCGTAATTCTCACCCCAAAGCTGAATAGGGGTAATCACATTTTCGGGAGCATCACTAGAGCCAAGATGGAAGGTCAAATCCACCTTGATTGTCTTGCCACCATCACCACCTCCTGTCATTGTGATTCTCACACAAACCGCACAAAACCTCACAGAAGAAACATAACTGGGAATCAAAAGGAAAAAATTTATGTGAAACTTTCACCCACCTTTCACTCGTAAATTATAAAAATAACGTGTGAAAAAAATTTGGATCAAACCTAAGCTCTTGATACCATGCATGTAAAATTAATCACAAAGTATAATTCTTTCTATATTTCTCATCTCATAAAACACGGCCACAATACAATATTTATAGGATTAGAATACTTGGGTGGCAAGCCCTAATATTCTCTAAAGATCTTAATAGCCTAAAGATACATCACAATCTTTCACAATAATATCTTCACAATATTTATCATATGTGATATCATATAATTAATGCATAAAACCAACTAGAAAAAATAAAATAAAATTAATCTGGTATTTGAACTTAAGATTTATTTGCCCTTTCCAAGTTTTGGTCTACCCCAATCAAAACTAATACTTACCTTCGTTTTTTTTTTAGTTGATACGTATTCCTTTTTAGAAAATTTATTTTTAGTTGACACGTTTCTTTTTTGGGCAAGTTTTATACCTTGCTTTTTTAGTGTACCCCACTTGCTTTATTATTCTCTCTCATTCCCTAAATATGTGTGCCTAAATTGAACGCGTCAACTAAATAGAAACAGAGGAAGTATATATAATCACAATGCACAAATACAATCTATTTATAACTAATACTAAAGTAATTACCGCTAACATCATAACTATCCATGTGACAGCTTCTAATAAAAAATATTCCCTCCAAAACTATTGTTGACATCATTTTATAAATTTTTTTTTCCTTCTACTTTTTCAAGGTAAAGCTAAAGTTTTTAAAATTTTATTATACCTGTGAAGTTAATAAGAATATTTATGTCCATTTTAGCTAAATAAATTTAACGAGAGGGACCATGATTTATTATGTTTTGCTTAAAAAATTTATGTTACACACTTACAAGTGAATTTTTTTATTATTAAAATAAACCGTGCATCGCACGAGACTAACCTAATGCTTAATAAAATATGCTCAACTATAATGTTTTCACTAACGGTTTGTTATGTTCACTTATTTTGGGACTAATAAGTTTAGATAAATTTAATTAAGTTCAGTTCTGATAAAAAAATAAGTTCTGATAAGGGTTACCTAAGTTCAAATTACAACTAAAATAAGTTTCAATAAACTCTAAAAAGTTCAATTAAATTCAGATAAGTTCAGATGAATGAAAATTAGATTAATTGAACACACCCTAAAAGTTGTTCTATTTTACATTTGTACTCACTTCATCAGAAAATATTGATACATTATCCTTAGATTCATAACCAATCTGAATTAAATATACAACACAATTTACTTTAATACTCTATCAAAGCCGAACATTTTAATATTCTCGCCATTATTCAGTCTTAGAAAAGAGTATAGTAGTAAAATATGTCACATATCATATCATTATTTTATTTCTCAAAACCTTTTTTGTGTACCCAAATACGTCTAGAATTTCAACTTCCACATGAAATAAAATGTGACTTTGGATAAACATAACGCTTTAACCTTTAGGTGCATCCGGATACGTATATGGTATCTGTAATATGTACCCTTTTCCCTAAAGCCCCGTGGCCAAAACCAGGACGCGTCAAGAAATACGTTTGAAAAAGAAAGACTGCTGAAGAATCGAATAGAAGAAGTAGGTGAGGTAAAATCATCCTATATGTCAGGTTTTCAGAAGTACTGTACCTAAACACAATTTAATCATTTATAAATACACCATTTATCCTCAACATTCCAAATCATTTCTATTAATTAATACATTCTTCCTTTCTCCCAACTATTCTACTAATTTCTAATTCCATTATTCTTCTTCGACAGCAGTTGCAGAGACACCCTGATTTTGCTTCTCTCTAATGGCGGCCAAAATCTACATCGTGTAATTTCTCATTCTTTGTGTCTTTTGCCCTTTTCTTTTAATTAATTAATTTGTTGTATAATGTCATTGATATTTATTGCATTTTTATAATGTTGTTTTTTTTTTTTTTTTATATTGGATTGTGATTTTTATTGTTGGTATGGGTACCATTAATTTGAATGGAATTCGATCTCGGGTTTTGGTTATCACCCGGAGAATTTAAATTTCTGGGTTAACTTGTGATGAGCAGTTCATCAATGCTTGAAATTTATTTATTTCCCAATTCATTTTCATGATGTTTAATTTTTCTGTTCTTTTAATTTTAATTATTATGGAACTCAGTAGGTTTTTTATGGTTAATATCTGTTTAAATTCATGGTTAACTGTTTCCCATTAGTAATATATTGGTTGATATTTTCCCTTTAATTCAGTCGATCTATTTATTTTTCTTGGATGGGTGGAGCTCGCAAAAATGAATGCCTTATTTCATCTAGCAACATATACTTCTATAATAATGTAAATGATTACATTGACTTGGGGTTGTTGAAATATCCTTGATTTGTTGAGTCATGTTTGCTGATTTATGTGGTTAGAATCTGCTTTTAATAGAATGATAAAACTTTATAGTTTTGCTGAATGAACCTTAGTTATATAGCTGATTTTCTTAAATTCAATTGTATGTTTATTTTGTATAAAATCCTCCAAATTGTGTCACTCAAACTTGGATTTGTGTCTTCAATATAAGCTTAATGAGAGCTATATAACTGTCTATGTTACTCAAACTCGGATCATGTGTCCCCTTGTTGGCTTGTTGCTAACTTGTTGAATGTGTATGTCTTCTTCATATTGTTAATTGGAAGAACATGAGCAATTTTCTCTTCCTAGACTCGAGGAATTAACATTGTCTTGTGATGTATTTGTTTGATTTACATATGGTTTGATAATATGAAGCAAGTGTGTGTGTGTGCGTGCGCGCTATGTGAAGTCCGTATCTCTTCTACCTTTGATTGTTGGTAGTCTGAGTGGAAATAAAGAGTTGAATGGCTTACTGAAAGTTACAAGTTAATCTCTTTTACAATTTCATTCTTTTTGGGTACTTAGGTACTAGTTGTCTATTTTACGCCTCTCTTGTTCGGAAGTAACTGATAATAAGCATCAATAATGTGATTTGGTTTGAGAAAGTAGCTTTTTGGAGGCATGGTGGCAAAGCTACATTGTTAGTTACAAAGTGGGCTGTTGCTATCTTCCTTTTGTTATCTTTTGACTTTACTCCCTTTGTGGACCAGTGTTTCTAGAATTTGTTATTCGTTTATCGTTCTTTGGTTTTCCATGCTCTTATCTTGGGAAATTTAGTTTTATATTCTTCCACTGAATGATTACCTAACTAAACCTTAGGAAGATTGATATGCTTTTTCATAATGTAAAGAGGAACTGTAGCAGTATTATGATGTACTGGAAAATTGAAGAACACTTGTAGTCTCTGCATTAGCTGTATGTGTTCTAATGAGAGCGAAATTTTGTTGGAGAGATATGACTATCGTCTACCGTTTGTCAAATGTTTTGACATTTGGTCAAATATTTTGAAATTTTGCGATGAGAAAGCTCTGCTTAATTACTTCTATGGTTGCCATCTTAAAGCATTAGTTTGTCAGAGTATGATACCTACACCTTTTGAAATTCAATACATTCAGCTGGATGTGGCATTAATTTTCCTTTTTTTAGTTAGTGGCTAAAAGATTTTACTGACGAGTTCATCGCTTCCTTTTTCTAGTTTTACGGATTGTACACACTTGCATGTGTCTAGTATGACAGTAATGGCTAGAGCCCTATTCCATAATCCATCAAATTTTGTTATGAAATTATTGGATTATTTTGTTATGCCATACTTGGATTATTTATAATTTTTCCTTTTAGCAATCTGGCTTTTCTGACTTAAACTTACAAGTGTCTTTTATAATTGTCTTTCATGGAAGCATACCATGGACTGTTAAGTTTGTAGGTTGCATGATAGCCCTGCTCCTGTCTGGGTTTGTTATGATTAGGCATGATACAATCAACTTTATCTTATGTGTGGGAATTGATACAAATAAGTCTGGTGCAGTTACTACTCAATGTATGGACATGTTGAGAAGTTAGCAGAGGAGATACTGAAAGGAGCTGCATCTGTTGAAGGAGTTGAAGCGAAACTCTGGCAGGTGTGTGTTATTAAAATTGCATGCTACGCAAATACTTGGGAGTTTGTATCCTTGATTACATTACTTGCGGGAATAATTAGAATTATTAAAGGTTCTTGGTTATTTGTGAAGGTTCCTGAAACACTATCTGAGGATGTGCTAGCAAAAATGAGTGCACCCCCAAAAACTGATGTCCCAATCATCACACCTAACGAACTTGCTGAGGCAGACGGGTTTCTTTTCGGTTTCCCAACTAGATTTGGTATGATGGCTGCTCAATTTAAAGCATTCATGGATGCCACTGGAGGACTCTGGAGAACACAACAACTTGCTGGGAAACCTGCAGGCATCTTTTACAGTACAGGATCTCAAGGTGGTGGACAAGAAACTACCCCGTGAGTTTCTCTTTGCTTGAGGTTTTCTGCCTTCTTGTTTCCAATTATTACTTGATCCATTCCTCTTTTGAAAGGGTTTAGGAATATTAGGATACTGAGCTGTTGATGCATATATAATAAAATGGATTTTTTTTTTTGAAAGAAAATATTATCTGAAATTTGCATTTTGCAATCTAATGCATGTAGAGAAGGGCTATCTTTTAGAAGAAAAATTCTTGTTTTACTATAGTGACTAGTCACTAGTTTGTTTCCCATGCTTTTATAAATTTTTTCTTGGTGGGATACTGGGATGCAAATTGTTATGCATAATTAAGCATAATGGACTAATGGAGAGTAAACTTCTGCTAATTTGTGGATTTATGCAGCTTGACAGCCATCACCCAACTCACCCACCATGGAATGATCTTTGTGCCCATCGGCTACACATTTGGAGCAGGTATGTTTGAGATGGAGAAGGTCAAAGGAGGAACACCCTATGGGGCGGGAACTTTTGCAGGTGATGGATCGAGACAGCCTTCTGAGCTTGAACTCGAGCAAGCTTTCCACCAGGGCAAATACTTCGCCATCATTGCAAAAAAGCTCAAGGGTTCTGCTTGAAATACTTCATTCTGTCTAAAATACAACTTTTTACTAGTAGATACCTGCATATTGTTTTTTGTCATATAAAGTATGCTCTTCAATTTCGTCAATTGCTTGCTTTGTCAAATATGTTTGTATTTGGATCCTTGATTTGTTTGAATGTGTTGTAAGAAATTCGCTCAGCCAAAGGTATATAAATGTATTAAAATTCGAACTCAATAATTGGTGTGATTGCCTTAATTGGTACTCAACAATTTCTTTGACAGGTTTACATTCTTATCTAATTTCCCCCTTTCTATCTTTATAATATTGGAATTTTTTACTTCTACACCCAAAAAAACAAATTAAAATAAAGGGAGCAGAGATCTACAAGTAGAAGTATGCACAGTGTTGTCGAACAACAATCGATATCAGGAGTTCTGTCAGTCGGGTGCCCATTTAGATTGATTACATTCGTTTGATGCTTAATGTCCACGTTAGGTCTGATGTATAACGACCTCGTAGGTCTGATGAAAAACCTAACTTGGTTTCTATGATTTTGAAGTGATTTTGAAAAACCTAACTTGGTTTCTATGATTTTGAAGTGATTTTGGACAACATGATGCTTAAAGATCTGCAACTAAATGACATTGTATAATTGTCTACTCCGTAGTTGAAGTCAGTAGTCAGCAAGAGCCTTGAGTCCCCTTAAAACAAGAACACAAACCATACACGGGTTTGAGGAGATCGATGATTGTCTCAACTGTACTTCTCCTAACCGTCGCTCTCATGGTTGTGCTTATGACTCATGCCTGTAGATTGGAGCATATTATTACCTCTCATAGTTTGGACCTGTTAACATTTACAGATTGTATTGAAAACTAGTTATTTGACTTTCAACTAGTTTAGCCACATTAAGGTTGATATTCATCCCTCTGAACCCTCTTTAAAGATGTATGCATGGCTTCCCATCTCCTTTAAACAAATCTGGTTAATTGATTAACCGTTAGGCAACCTAACAGGGGCGAAATTTGGACAGTACCCTTAATCTGAAGGACAATACATTTGATCATCTGTATATGAATGCAAGAGGAAACGAATCAAAAGTCATTTATAAATTATTAAATTCCCTAGTTTCTGATTTTTGACTTTAAGAACTAAAGATAGTAAGCTGTAACACCTATCTTAGTCACTAGTCAAGTCTCGCGAAGATCGAGATATTAATCGGAAGGATGAAAATACAAAGAGTACTCTCTTCGTCTCAAATTTTTACTACTTGCTAGATCGAGCTATGATCAAGCTATGCTATGAAAATGGCAAATTAATATAAAAGTACTCAATTCGTCTCAAACTTGTACCATGTTTTAGAAATGAGAATCTACGTACGGAGTAGTAATTTAAAAAGAGTCAAGCTCAAACTCAGCATAGAAGTTAGCAAGTAGCAGCAATACACATAACACATAAAGGATTAAAGGTCTATGTATGGATCATGGGCTATACAGGAGATCCACACTATAAACTCGTATATTAGCACTCATTTGACTTGATTTGATTTTTGGTTCAAGTTTAAGGTCCATATTTGAAAAAGGCTTTTCTTACAATATAATTATTTTCTCTGTTTCTTTTATTTGGAACAAAGGGGTATTTTATATGAAACATAAAAAAATTCATTTGTTACAAATAAAATAAATGGGGGCAGTATAATGTTTTACTTAATAAAAAAGTATAAGGAAGCTTTGAAAAGAATTAAGGGCCAATTTCCTATTGTAGGTGAATAAGGAATTATGGACAGACATATCATTCTAGACCTAGTCTATTAATAATAGGAGCGTAATTTGGGTAATCATTTCAAGGATAAGAACAAGAAACCGAGACTAGACATGGTATGATTTTTCCATTCGAGACATTTACAAGCCTAAAGAAAATTTGTCACAATGTTGATGATTTTCTCCTTATCCTTTTCCATTAAGAAAATTGGATTAAAAAATATACATATATGTAGGTTTGAAAAATCACTTGACTAGGTCTTTCGATGGAGTAGATTTTCTCCTTAACAAATTGGACTATAATCACTATATAACTAAAGAAGTTTCTTTCCAATTTCCACCAATCTAAATCTCTAATGAACTTGTAGAAGGGATTTTTAAGGGTCCACCAAGTTAACTTCTATTTAAGTTTCATGTTCAATTTTTCTACACGAAGTAGATTTTTGATTAAGTTTGTGTGTGCTTTTTTTGTTTTTTATATTAAGTGCAACCTTTTTTTTAATAAAAAAAATGAACATTTTTTAAGTGCAACAATTTTAAAAATGAAATTCTCTACACATTTTTATACATCTTTCTTCACATATAATCCTCACTCCTACCCATTTGTTATTTCCTTCCGATCCTCTTACATTACTTACTTTAAATACGAAGTATATTATTTTCCCACTTTATTTTATCAATAATGTTTTTATTTCACAACAAATCCCACTAATTCATAACTAAAACGCTTAAAATTCCTTAAAACGTAATTGTTGTACGTAAAAAAAAAAAAGAAAAAAAAAGTGAGTAACAATAATTTGATTTCGACCCAATGATAATATTTGAGAGCTTGTGTACGAAGTCACATGTTTGAAATAAAAACCTCTTCCCTATTTATAATTTATAGTGCCCTTATAACTGATTCGGAACCCTCTAAAAAGAGAGAGAGGAAAAAAAAAACGACCTTGCCTCGGACTACATGCAATTTTTAGCGTGTTGTAAATGTGGTGGATTTTGGCTCAATTACCTTGTAATGTTAGGTGATTGTGTGGACTTTCAGGTATTGCATCTTTTTGTAATTTGTTGTTGTACAAGATAGTCACATGTTTTTGTAGCTTTGCTATTGTACCAAATCAATAAGCATTATATTCTACGAAGTACATTGTAGTAGTGCGTGTTGTATATGACGCAATACATACATTAGTATCGCATCATCCCAAATGTTAAAAATGGCAAAGCATTAGGGACAAAACACAAAAGACAAGAAAACTTTTTAAAATAGGAAAAATATACATGCAACCTTAAAAACTGCGTATAAGAAACTAAAAGTGGAAAGAATAGACAATAAATAAACATTTATTACACCGATTTATTCGTAAATTGTCGATAAATTTCCTACTTAATACTAAAAAAGGAAGTATATTAAATGCTTATATGCAGCCCTAAGGGTTGCATATAGCATTACCCTTTAAAGTAACATCTTCTTTTTTCACTTTGTTTTATACTGTATTATTTTACTTAAATTTTCTTAATCCGAGACTAGAATCATTTTGGGGGGTAAAGTTATAAATGTATAATACATCAAGATTAGGATAGTTTTCATTTAATTAGAGCTAATCGTACTTTATCTTATAATCTCTCGGTCCGTACTTTTTTCCATGAAAAATACACTTTAATAATCCCAACTTTGCTCAATTTACTTTGAATGATCCCAACTTTTGATTATTCTGCAATAATCTCAACTTTTATCTTCGTTTTCTTCTAACAATCCCAAATCGGTCAACAAAAGTCAACAACCTATTATTGTAATTAATTTGCCACATGTCAAGTCATAAGTGGTCCCAAAAAAAATTAAAAAAAATCAATAAGAAAAAAGAAAAAAAAAACCAGCCTCCAACTGAACCACCACGTCCCTAGACTCATCCCCCAAAACCTCCCCCCAAACCGCCTCACCCTCGCAAAACCGGCCCGGCCCTCTCCCTCCCCCTACCCCGTAAACCAGCCCCTCTCCCTCTCCATACCCCGTAAACCAGCTATAGCCAAAACCCATAACCCTGAAACCACCCATAACCAAAGCCCCGTCCCTAAAACCGTCCCCCCTCCTATGTCCCCACCCCCAAAACCACCTGAAACACCATCCCTTGCCCTTGAATTCACCTTCTTCACCCCCGAAGCCACCAAAAACGCAAATTCCTAACTTTCTCTGTCCTCCATGTGTCGGAAAATGCAAACAAAAGGGGTGAGGGGAAGGTTTCTGAGAGGGAGTTCTAAAAAGTAGGGTTGAGGGATCTAGTAGGGTGGTTTGGGGTTCGGGTTTGCCGGTTGGGGAAGGAAGGCCACCAGCATTTGGTGGCTGGTGGTCTTTGTTTTTTGTTTTTTGTTTTTTTTTTTAATTTTTTGAACAAATTAAAATGTAACATGTGTCAAATAATTTGTTTAATTTTTTTTTTAACTCTTTCTTCAGGTAACCGGTAATCCGGATTGTAGAAAGAAAACGCAAACGAATGTTGGGATTATTGCAAAATAATCAAAAGTTGGGATTATTTAAAGTGCATTGAGCAAAGTTGGGATTATTAAAGTGTATTTTTCCTTTTAGGGGTGGGAATTCGAGTCAACAGGTCGGGTTCGGGTCAGATTTCGAGTCGATTTCGGGTTATGCTTAAAAACTATCAAAAATTGTTTAAAAGTTAATATTATTACGAAATATGAAATTTGGGTCAAATCGGGTCGAATTCGAGTTGTTCGGGTTCGGGTCGGGTCGGGTTCGGGTTTCTCTCAGTAACTTTGGGTCAAGTTCGGGTCGTGCTATCGGGTTGGGTCAGGGATTGCCAGCCCTTTTTCCCATTTATTGCCAGTATATGGGCCAAACTTTAAAACTTTGACCATATATCCCGTTAATCTATAAGAAATAACATAGTTATGTGGGATTCGTCTCATATCATTGCATATTTTCTTAATAACAAATTTTTATAATTTTTTACGTGTCTTAAAATATCGTGAAAAGTCAAATAGGATTAAAAAAAAATAGTACAAAGATAAATCGGAGGCTGGTAGCCTGATAATTGAGAGAACACGGTACTTTCTTTAGATACACGTATCCCATCCATAGGCGTCACTTTATTAAGTTTTATTTAAAAATGCCTACAGGAAACTAAAATTAAATTTACAAGGAAGTTCTAAAAAGAAAATACCCTTTTGATAAAATAAAAAATAAAAAATAAAATAAAATAAAATAAAAAAACTTCTAAATGAAGAGAAACAAAGATTTGCCTTTGATAAGCCATAAAAAGAAAAAGCGGTCCTAATAAAAAGATTTTTTTAATAAAGGAATTCAAAGGTTTACTCTTTCATTATTAAAGTTTATACAATCTTTAGTAACATCACAATGATGCCTTAGAAGCTTTACATTTTGTTAACCCTAGTAAGTAAAAAAAAAAAAAAAAAATTGAAAAATAGGAATTGAATTGACTTTGATTTGGGGGCACTCAAGGGCTATATAAGAGGTACCTATCCTTATTCTTTATTAACGAATTTGGTAA